TGCGCCACCAGGGAAGCCCCCTATTCTTTTTTTTTTTTTAATCTGTTAGCACCTACTATTTTATTTGCTGTATCTTAGATTATATTTTGGTGACAGAGGACAAATCCCCTTCATCCTTATTTCTCAAACTATTTTTGGCTCTTCTTAAGTGTTACTCTGCCAGAGGCACCTGATTGTCAAAGTTAACTTACTCCCCCAAATCACTGGATTGTCTTAAATTTTTGTGTTAATACAGGAATAATGATTATCTTTATGATATGGCTTTTTCCCATCTTAGTCATGGTCTGTCTCACCATTTATTTAGATTTTATTTTATGTTCTTCAATAATAGTATATCATTTTATTTATATAGATCTTGCTGTTTTTTAATTCCTCAGTGTTTCACATTTTTTTTGTTACTATATGAATGGGATCCTTTTTTCCATTATGTTTTGTAACTGATTTACTAGCATTTGTGTATTTACTTTGTATCTTATGTCTACCATCATCTAAATTTTTATTATCTGAATAATATTTTTTGTAATAAATTTTATTTTCTAAAACATAAGGCCAATGTGTATACGGCAGAAACCCTTAGGAAGTACAAGGAGATTCTGGGGGAAGGAAAACACAAACTCAATTCTCTTTCAAAGTTTGACAAATAAAGTGTAGAAAAATATAAGTAAGGATCTGTATGAGACAAACTCTGTTTAATAAAGAACTTTACTCTTAAAAGAGAGTATTCTCCTTACACCCTACAGAACAAAAGCCAGTTATGTGCATAGTCATAAAGAAAAGAAATTCTAGGGACTTCCCTGTTGGTCCAGTGGTAAAGAATCCACCTTGCAACGCAGGGGACGCTGGGTTCGATCCCTGGTCAGGGAACTAAGATCCCACATGCTGCTGGGCAACTAAGCCCGAGCGCCACAACTACTGAGCTTGCACGCCTCAGCTAGAGAGCCTGCGTGCTGCAAACTACAGAGCCCACTCGCCCTGGAGCCTGCACGCCACGACTAGAGAGAAGCCCGTGCACCACAACGAAGAGCCCGCATGCCTCAATGAAGGTTTTTCTAGAGAAAACCACATGTCATGACTAGAGAGAAGCCCGTGCACCACAACGAAGAGCCCGCATGCCTCAATGAAGATCCCTCATGCCGCAACTAAGACTCAATGCAGCCAAAAATAAAATAAATAATAAATAAATCCTCTTTAAAAAAAAAAAAAATTCTACAGGTTACATTCTCTGGCTATGATGAAATAAGACTAGAAATACAGCAGCTAACAGTTAAGTGTAAATAATCTGATCATATGGAAATTTTAAAACTCTTTTCTAAATAATTCTTCAAATTAGTTTATTCTTGGATTAAAGAGAAAATTAAAGGTAAATTACATATTATTTAAAGCTGAACAAAAATGAGGACAGTTTATTTAATAATATATAACTAAATGTTCTATCACTAACCAAAACTAAAATAATAAATTACCCAAGTTTCAACTCAGAAATAAATTTTAAAAAACAAAGAAACTAAAAAAAAAAAAAAAAAAAACAAAGAAACTAAGAGGGGGGATTTAAAAAGATAAAAGTAGACGTCAACAAATTATTAAATAAAACAATCCTCCCAAAATAGAAATAAATCTTGAAGTCAGTTTCTTTTAAATAAATAATATAGCTAAACTCCTGACAAACCTGATTGATATAAAGAGAAATATTTTTTCTTTCTCAGAAAACCAAGAAAATAGATGAGATTAAAATAATTACAAGAAATACTGTGTACAAATTTAAGCCAATACATTTTAAAATCTAGATTAAAGAGTTTCATTGGGAAATTCCTTATTATTACCAGAATTGACTCAAAAAGTAGTTGAAACCTGAACAGACTAACTACCAATAAGAAATTCACGAGATTGTTAAAGACATAATGCTAGAAAAGATCCAGATCCAGATGGTTTTATGAGTCCTTTCAAAGGACTGATTATTATGTCATTTATAATATTCCAGAATATAGAAAAGGATGGAAAGTCTGCATATCCTTAATACAAACCTGAAAAATTACACACAAAAAAACTATAGATCAGTCTCATTCATCAGTATAAGTTTATGTCCTAAAATAAACATTGACAAATAGAATCCAAAGATCTAGTAAAAGAATAATAAACCATGATTAGGAATGATTTATTCCAAGAAGGGAAGGGTGGTACAATATTGGGAAATCTATTAATGTAATTAATATATCATTAATAGAATAAAAGAGTGATCAAATGGTCATTATTAATAGACATTTTAAAAAGCATTTGAGGGGCTTCCCTGGTGGCGCAGTGGTTGAGAGTCCGCCTGCCAATGCAGTGGAGGTGGGTTCGTGCCCCGGTCCGAGAGGATCCCGTATGCCGCGGAGCAGCTGGGCCCGTGGGCCATGGCCGCTGGGCCTGCGCGTCCGGAGCCTGTGCTCCGCAGTGGGAGAGGCCACAACAGTGAGAGGCCCGCGTACCGCAAAAAAAAAAAAAAAAAAAAAATTTGATAAAAATCTGTTACCCATTTTGAGTGGTCACTAAATTTTAAAAGGAATAGAAGGAAACTTCTTTAATATATCAATATTTTTCTTATTATTTTTGTTGTCTAATCATTTATTTGATTATCATAAGTATCACTGATTAAAGTACTGAAAATGAAGATAGTGCTACCTAAAGTGTTTTAGAAAGGGTAATCAATCAGAAATCACAGACTCTTTAGAACAGCTTAAAATAATGCTGTATTTGGATTAAACTTTTCATCTCATATGATGTTAGACTTTATTTCGAACTGAAGTGAGAAGATAAGTATGTGATCTCACAATATCTGTGTATGTCTGTAAACCACTGAAGTGGAACTTTATGGACAGTTTGCCCCTGCACTTTGGTATACAGTGTATTAGAGAAATAGGGAAATGTTCCACCAGCTAGAAATATTGGTAAAGCAGAAATAAATTATTTAACTAAAAACTAGCGCCCAGAATTGGATACTCTTCTTAACAAAAGTAGTGAGTATCTTCTTTTTGGGGGTTGACTGGTAATTGAATTTTGCCCACTTATCTTCTAGGAATGATTGCCTTAAAATCATCAATTTGGTATTTGCTAAAACACAGTTGTTATGTGCGCAGTATTATGATGGGCATTTACAGGCATAATGATGGATGAAATTGGGTCCATGCCCTCTGGAAGGACCCATGTTATGAACTATTTTACAAAGTATGATTTTTAGGTGGCAGTTGGTTCAGGGAGGTGATGATGTCAAAACTGAGCTTTGTAGGGTAAGCAGAATTTCAGCCTGTGAAGGAGAAAGTAGAGCTTCCCAAACTAGAACAGTGTCAACAAAAGCATGGAGGCAGGAACTGGAGGATAAGTTTGTATAATTGAGTGGTTCTCAAACCTAGCCAAGGGTTAGGGTTACCTAAAGAAGTTTAAACAAAAAAAAAAGAAGAAGAAGAAGAAAAGAAGAAGAATTATTTCAGTGGACCCGCCCATGGAGATCTAATTCAGTTAGGGGCAAGATAAGGGCCCAGACACATGTGTTTTTCTAAAAGCCCCATGGATGATTCTGATGTATAGTCAGGGTTGAGAGCCAGTAGTGTGGTCTCGTGCAGGAAGGATATGGAGGTACTTTATGATCACTCACAATCCTGTGAGTTGACTGGACTCAACTGGGCAGTTCTTCTGCTCCATGTGACATTGGCAGGGGCACAGTCACCTGGGGGACCAGTCAGGATGGAATGTCCAAAATGGCTAACTCACATGGCCTTTCAGCTGAGAGCTCAGCTGGGGCTGTCAATTGGAACATCTTTGTGGGCTTCTCATTGCATAGCAGCTGGGTTCCAAGAGGAAGCATCTCAAGAGCAAGCATTCAAAAAGGCCCAGGCAAACAGACTTCCTATGACCTATAGCTTTGGTAGTCTCAGTTGTTACTTCCACCATATTCTGTTGGTCAAGCAAGTCACTAAGGCCAACTCAGATTCAATGGAAAGTGGACTAAACTCTAATCCTTGATGAGAGGAGTGTGCATATAAGGAAAGAAGGAAATTGATGGCAACCATTTTTTTTTTGAGAATTGCTACTGCAGTCTTTAGGCACTAAGTACTATAGCATCAAAGTACATAAACAGAATTTCAGGAAATTTAGACATCAGTGAAAGTACAATTAAGTAAGACAATAAGTAATGATAAAAGGAATCTGAATAATATAAAATGCTTATGTAATAGATTTATGTATTGAATTCCTTTATATACCTTCATTTCAGACATCCATAGAATTTCTGCTCCCCACAAAAAAGAGGCATTTGAACCCCTATATACTCTTATAAATGTGGAGCCTTAATGATATGGTTGTGTTTGTTTTATCTATTATTATACAGTGCTCAGTATTAAATGGGGTTCTTCCCATATTGGAATCTCTTCCTCTGGATGACTTTTTACACATGGTATAAACAATTGGGTTATACATTCTCTCTCAAGTTCTTCTTCATGTTTTGTTTTCTGGAAAGAGTGGCATTGAAGGGGGCTTTATTTTGATTCCCCACAGTCTCACGATAAGAGTAGTTTTGACTTGTTTGGGTGCTTTGTAGACTTCAAGGTCACCATCCAGCAGCCACTGGAATAATCTTCCAATTTCCCCAAATTGCTGACGTGGGAATTGAGCTGCAATCGTTGCCATCATCTGTTTTCCATGTATTGTTTTTTAAAGCCCCTTAAGAAAGAAAGAATTGTTTTAAGGTAAGGGTTTGTTTAAGTCTTTGCTTTTGCTTTCTGAAACTCAGTTATTTTATCATACTAATAAGACACCCAGAGTCCGAGGTGAGAACCCAGGTGGTGGAGGTGATGTAATTTCCTGGCCTGTCCGTGATGAGTCCTGGTTACTTATTGCTTCTGTCTGTGTCCCCCATGTGATTTGAGGAGTTCTTTCCGAGCTGAGTCTTGGCATTAAACCACCCAGGGTGAGGAGTCAAGCAAACAACCGTCCCCCTCAGTAACTCTCCACTCCGTTTGCCGTTGCAGGTCGTCACGCTGTGGTACAGAGCTCCAGAAGTCTTGCTTCAGTCCAGCTACGCCACCCCTGTGGACCTCTGGAGTGTTGGTTGCATATTTGCAGAAATGTTTCGTAGAAAGTAAGAAATACCTTTTGTTTCACTCTGTCTCCCTTGGAAAGAAACGTTTCGGGTCTTGGATAATTTAAGTGGCAGCCTAGCATCCCTGTTTCAAGTAGGAACATGGTATCCAGCTCCACCTGCCTGCGGCTCCCACTTCCAAGCATGTCCTGAAACTGCCTTCTCAGTCCTTACAATGTAGTTGGGTGTGGTTGTAGCTTCCGGCTCTTGGAAACTCTGTTTGGAAGGGAACACTCCAGTGTTCATACAATTTATTTTGTTTTTGTTGGCGATGAGAGGATGTGGCAAACATGAAGCGCATTACGGGTTTTTTGTGTGAGGAAACATCCTCAAGGTGGACTTTTCCACAAGAAGAGGACCAGGGCTGTTAAGTATATGGAAATTTTGATGGTGGGTTGAAAAAACAAAATGTTTAGACTGAAAAGGCACAGGCAAGAAAGATGTCTGCGCCATTTCAGAATACTTTAAATGCTGTCATGAAGAGGAGAGGTTAGACATATTCAGGCACTATAGAGAGCAAAACCAAAGATATTAAAATTACAGAAATAAAGATTTTTGCTCAAAGGCAAAAAAAAATCTAATGATTAGAGTTATCTGAAGAGAAGATCAGGGTTCATGAAAATAGTGCTTTCTCAATGGGTGTCCAAGAAGAGACTGGACCACTACACACTGTAGATGTTTTCAGTGGCATTCCTAGAATGGGTGGGTGGGCTAGATGACCTCCAGGGCCCCTCTGAGTCTGAAAGTCTGTGGTTCATTTGTTTGATTTTCAGGTCATAAGAAATAGCCAAACAATATAATAAAGATCTGCCAGGAAAATAATCCAGACCTGGGTACTAAATTCAGCCTGGTCAAAATTAAACAGAGAGCCTAATCATAATCTAATCTCTCTTTGTCTTCTATTTTTATTTCCATGGGAAAATGTGAGTTGGGAAGTTGAATATTTTCCCACTGGACATGTTATATTCAAAACGTAGTTACGTACTATAGCTCACAAGAAAAAGAGGTGGTCAGCCATTTCTTGCTTGTCTGTCTCTCTGTTTGTTTGTTTTAACCAAATGAAGTTTTGTGCATGTAACAAATTTGGGGAACTATTCTAGACCTCAGCAGATTCATCTGTAGCTCACAGAGGGGGATCATGGCAAGGTGATCAAAGTGCACAGATGTTTAATGCAGGCCTATTGTGTGCCAATTACAGGACCAAACCTCTTTTCCTTGTGTTACCTTTTTATTCCTCACGATAAGAGATAACTGAGATGCAGTGGTAAATTTATTTGTCTAACATCAAACAGCTAAAAAGTATGAGGGGTATTACTCCAGAGGAAGTCTTGTGACTCTGGTGGTGTTTTTCTACCAAGGAGGGAAGAAAAAAAAAAATATATTGAATTCAGCTGCAATGTTTGCCAAATAGGCTAAATAAGTGGTTTTGGAAGTGTGGTTCTTGGACCAGCAGTATCCAAAAAGGTGACCTTTTTTGGAAGTGCAAATTCTTGGGCCTCACCCCAGACCGACTAGATCAGAAGCGCTTGGGCTGGGGCCCAGCAACCTTTGTTTTCACAAGCCCTCCAGGTGATCCTAATTCATCCTCCAGGGTAAGAACCACTGAGTTTGGATGAGAGAATCAGCAGGAATGGTCAGTCGTTAAATGTGCAACTCCCAGACCTCTCTCTTGAAATTCTGATTCATTATTGGACTGAGGCCTGACGTTCTTGTTTGTTTTGGTTTTTTTAACATTTTAAAAAATATTTTATTTATTTATTTATTTGGCTGCATTGAGTCTTCGTTGCTGCACATGGGTTCTCTCTAGTTGCGGCGAGCAGGGGCTACTCTTCGTTGTGGTGCGCAGGCTTCTCACTTCGGTGGCCTCTCTTGTTGTGGAGCACGGCTCCAGGCACACAGACTTCAGTAGTTGTGGTATGCGGGCTCAGTAGTTGTGGCTCGAGGGCTCTAGAGCACAGGCTCAGTAGTTGTGGCGCACGGGCTTAATTGCTCCGCGGCATGTGGGATCTTCCTGGACCAGGGCTCGAACCCGTGTCCCCTGCATTGGCAGGCGGATTCTTTAACCACTGCGCCACCAGGTAAGTCCTGGCATTCTTGTTTTTAAACGTGTATCATGTAATTCTTTTCATCAGGCAAGTGTGGAAAATTTGGGGTTAAAGGCTTATTGTCAGAACCAGGAATAATTTACTGTCAATATTGCAGTGTGGGAGTTGGGACAGTCATTTCAGTTCATCCCATGAATAAATTGGTGCAGCTGAGAGTTGATTAGAGAAGTATTTATTGGAATTACTTTGATGCGTCTAGGATTGTCCTCAAATGTAAAGATTGGGTCCTTCTTTTGTTATGGGGGAAGAATGATCAGTTATTTTTCAATAGTACAAAACTTGAATACCAGCCATCATTGACGATAAAAACAATCTTCTTCTGGAAGATGTTAAAAGAAAGATGAAATTTAAGATATGTAGTGTTAAAGTGTTCTCTAGTAAGGGATGTACTTTATTTTTAAGTATAGGTAGTCAGCACTTATGGAACAATTGCAGCCCAAATTTTCATTTTATAGCATTAAAACATTCTCCCACGGAAGTGGTAGTATAGTTGGTAATCTGGTCCCAGTCTAGCTTGCAGAGAATCCTGTGTAACCTGGAACATATACAGAACATTATTTATCAAAACCTATTTTCTATTTACAACATTTTTTTTCTAGGGTAAAGTCCATTCTATGTTCCAATCCAGGATGACAGGAATACCCATCTCTTCAGGCCAGCATTGGGTCTCAGAAGGGAGACTCAGTATTGGAGGCTCAGAGAGAGACTCCTTTGACAACAGCAGCAAGTCTGCTTCACTTTTCTGGGAAAGTGAGATGTTGGGTAGAGACCCATTGGCTCTTCAAATGTGCACAAAAGAAAGTACCCCTCTCTTGGAGCCTTGCACGGAGATAGTAAATTGAGAAATAATTGCCGGGAGCGGGAAGCAATATCAGAATCCAGGCGCGTGTGCCTTTAAGGCTGAAGGACAATGGATCCATCTGGGCCTGCCACCCTTCCTGGGGCGGGTGCTCTGTCTCTTAGGTAGTTCCTGCCGGTTGGGATGTGACCTTGAAAACAACCATGGGATCTGACCCTTGTTCCTGCTCAGTTCACGTTTGGTATTTCCTATGATAACACCCAGATATCTGAATGTGAAGCCTTCTCACTTATGCCAGCTGAGTTCAGGGGTCCAGCCACCGGCTTCACCTGCTTCCAGCTTAACTCCTGATTCAGTGCTGACCCACCTGTTGCAGTGTCCAGCTGAGAACTCACAAGCCGTGGATTCTCGAAGCAGACTCCCTCATTGCCTTAGGCTGACCCTAAATCAGGGAGTCCTGGTACGTGTCCACTCAGGGTTCCTCCTTGTTGCTATGGCAGTGTTCCCAAATTGTGTCATCTTTTTTAACACGTTCATGGTTTTTGCCATATTCATGATAACTATACTTACTTAATTTCTTTACTATCTTAAATTAATTAACTTTTTATTTAGCCTCATCTTAAGCAAAAATATATAAAATCACAGAATTGATTAACCAGTTATTTGTCTAACATACACTAAAATTCATACATAACCCTTAAAATTAAACAATTTAGTCCATGTTCAGCCCCTGAAATCATCTCCCATATCACCCAGGTGTGTGTCACATGTTGGAAACAGATGTTTCATTCATTCTACAGATAACTTCACTGAGTGGCTACTATATGCAAGGTCCTTTTCTAGAGGGATAATTTACACCCTAGTGCAGAAGAGAGGCATTGCATTTGCAATTAGTCAATTAACCAGAGCTGGGGTAAATGCTGTGCAGTGTAGGTTTCTATGAATGGGTATAATGAGAAGCTTGTCTCCACAGAGGAAAGAGATTTCTCAGTGGAAGACTAGAAGTCAGGATTAACCTTCTCCAGAGGTCGTATCCTAGTTGTTTATATAAGAACATTGAGGAATAACCATTTATGCATCAGCAAGGCTCACCATCCTCCCTAATCTAGGGAGAAAAAAAGAAGCAAAGGGAGTTAACAGTTGTCTGTCATGTGACAGACCCAGGGCCGGGCACTTCACATCTATTATCTCACTAAACCCACATTCTGAGGACTGTTTTCCTGTTTCTAGATGATAAACCAAAGCCTTCCACAAGGAGTATAAATAACTTGTCCATAGGCATACAGCTCTTAAATGGCAGAGCCAAATTTGAACCTAATTCTACCTGACTCTAACCTTTGATTTTCCCACTCTGCCATGTTTCTACCCTGGCTGTGGTTTTATTAGGTACCATATTTTTTTCTAGAATGTTTCATGCATTATTACAACGTAGCAGCAACAATATTTTAGGGAGGTCAAGAAGCAAACCACACATCTAATAGCTTTGATTTCTAGCCTTTCCTATAGTGGAAAGGCTGACCAATTTCTGTGATATTGTAAAGAACTGCATGCCTTTTATTCTAAAATGTGATACCTAGCAAATATGAACTCAGGAAAAAGAATCTTAGGGCAGATGGTTGACAAAGAGCCAGAGAGTTTAAATACCATCTGTCATTATTTTCTGGGTTTAATAATTGCCACACTGACCTTCAGTAGCGTTCTACGAAAGTAGATAAGAGTTGTTGGATCTTTTATCTTCCTCCTTTAACTCTTCATCAATGGGTGATCCATCTTTACTCCACATTGATTTATATATATATATATATATATATAAATTTATTTATTTTATTTTTGGCTGTGTTGGGTCTTTGTTGCTGCGTGTGGGCTTTCTCTGGTTGTGGTGAGCGGGGTTACTCTTCGTTACAGTGCGCAGGCTTCTCATTGCGATGGCTTCTCTTGTGGCAGAGCATGGGCTCTAGGCGCGCGGGCTTCAGTACTTGTGGCATGCAGGCTCAGTAGTTGTGGCACGCAGGCTCAGTAGTTGTGGCTCGCAGGCTCAGTAGTTGTGGCACACAGGCTTAGTTGCTCCACGGCATGTGGGATTTTCCCAGACCAGG